AAAAAAAAAAAAAAAAGACAAAAAAATTGCAATGGACCCAGTACTTAGGGAGATTGAGGAAGGATTGCAAGCCCAATTCCTGTCTGGAAAATTAAGCAAGATCCTGGCTCAAAAAATTTTTTAAATAACAAGTACTTGGGATGTAGCTCAATGGTAGAATGCACTTGGATTCAATCCCCAACAGTACCACCGACTCCCCCAAAATGCAAAGGAGAGTAGAGCCATAGTGGTCCAGAGAGACAGAGTGGAGACACAGAAGAAAACTTTCCCCCAGGCATGGTGGGACACATCTGTCATCTCAGCACTCTGGGAAGCTGAGGAAGGAGGAGCACAAGTTTGAGCATAGTCTGTGCAATTTAGCAAGAATTTGTCTTAAGATAAAAAAAAGTTCTAAAATGAGTGCTAGATGGTATCTCACTGTGAAGGTCCTACATTCAATCCCCAGTACAAAAAAAAAAAAAAATCAACATTCCTCTTTCTTCTCTGCTTTCTCACATCCTCAAGTGGCATGTGATAGAGTACACACACACACACACACACACACACACACACACACACACAATGCCATATGGGCAAATCTCTAAATGTCTTCTAAGAGATACATCATAAAACTCCAATAAAGAAAACAAAGAAGACCAATGCTAAAAGTGCTATTTTCTCTTCTGTTTTTCTTCTGTTTTTGAGTGACGGCTAAGTCTGTAAGGAGGTACAACCCTTGCTGGCATTAGTTCTGGAGTTGGAATTCCTGAGCAGGCTCAGTTTCTGAAGGAGAGGACTCAGGGGGCAGATGATCACAAGCTATAAATACCTTCAAGGTAACAATGCAAATGAGGGAAGGGAATTATTCATTTGCTCAGCAGGTGCTAGGACAATGAGCAGTAGCCTGGAGCTAAGGAAGAGAAAGTTTAAACTGGGGATTAGCAGAAAAGCTCTCCACACAGAGAGTTTCCTGCCCAGGGCTCTGGACTTTGCAGCCCAGTGCCAGGTACCAGGGACAGATGCCTGATAACAAGCATGGATGTGGGGCTGGAATTCTTGCCAGATCCAAGGATCACCAGGGTAGCCCACAGCTTTCTGGTTGTTATGTGCGTTCCTAGAATGTCATCTCCAAAAATGCCTTCGTCTCAGGCATTTAATTCATAGCCTGGATGTTCAGGAAACAAATTCCTCTTGTTCAATTCCTTGTGGCATCTGTGAAGTCTCACTCTGTTCCTGCTGCCCCCAAAACTGGGGTTATCTGTAGTCAAATCATGATATCTAGTGCCAAGCCCTGAGAGGTTCCTTTCCCATATGGAAAAATATCTGGCTCCTGAATAACATCTGGTAGGTAGAAAAGTGATAAAGATATAAACTATTAGCTGCCAAATATAAAAATAAAAGATGTTTCAAGTATATTAGGAACAGCAGGAAGAACATTCCAGCAATTATTGCTGGGTAAATCATTACTTGTCTGTTTTCTGAATGTGTGTCTACACAGAACTTGTCAGGAATCTTCTGTTGACGGAATTGGTGTAGGATGGGCTCTCCTACACAGATGTCCTGGGCTTTCCAGCCTTGGTTTCAGTCCTTTCTGATTTGTTAAGAAGGTCTTTCTTCAGTGGTGTAACCAAGTCTGGGTCTCCACTGTTTGCTATTTTTCTCTTATTTCATCTTCCTCATTAACATGCACTGAGTATTTACTATGACAAATTAAGACAACAGGGACACAGGCAAACAATTCAACTCTCCACAGTTCCAGGAGGCACTGAAGTATTGGAAAGTATGTGGCTTTGGCATTAGAAAAGGAGCCTGAATCCTAGATGGGTCACTGTTTAACTCTATGATCCTGGGTAATTTACTTGATGTTGCTGAATTTCAGGTGGGAGGTAATAATATCTACTAAGAGGTAGTAATATCTACTAAGAGTGAGGTCCCATTGCACACACATCCATGTACCCACACTCACCCATGTGCATAGGCATCCTTTCACACAGAAGCAGCCCATATGTTGTAGACTCTAGTGTGGAAACACACTTGTAATGTTTACAAACAGCAACAGTGTGTGACTGCATTGGACTTCCCATTAAGAAAAGCTGGAAATGATGCACTTTGGAAGTTCTAAAGGAGGAAAAAATTATCTTCAGCATTCATTTAGTGGGGAAAAAGAAAGCTTTAGTATTGCCATAGTTTCAACCTACAATTCATTTATTTTCAAACTGCTGAGTTCTTGTCTATGTTCAGTTGAAGAGAAGAAAAGAGAAGAAATAATCACTTAATCACTAGTAGGAAAGAACATCCCACAGCTTTATGCTCTTTGCCTAAAATATAAATGAATTGAGATTTAAAAACTTGGGTGAAATCTTGGAAGAGCTTCACAGAGGAAGGATATAGCCCAACAAAGTGCAGGAGAGAATGTCTTGCTGTTAGGAAAAGGTCAGTATTAGACTACACATGTGTATTAGGCATAGCTCACCCGAGGGGCAGAATCAATTGAGTGTGTGTGTGCACATGCACGTATCTGCGTGTATGAAACAGATTTTAAAAGACTGTCTCATGTGATTGTGGAGCCTGGAAGACCTGATATCTGCAGGGTTGGCTAGAGGGTAGAGGCCAGGGGAAGTGTTGATGCCCCAGCTCAGTTCCAAAGGCAGTTGATAGCACCCATGCTCTGTTCTTCAGGGTACAATAGTGTTTTTCAACTTTCGAGTGATTGAATGTTTGCCCACATTATGAAAGATAATCTGCTTTACCAAAGTCTGCTGATTTATATGTTAATCACATCTGAAAATACTTTCATAACAATATCTAGAATAATGCATTATGTCCCAACCAAATGGACACAAAAAATTAATCATTGCAACATGATAGGGAAGTAACATCATGATATCTATGTTTAACACTGCTCTATTTAATCCTAGAGTGGATCATAAAGAGAGGAGGTTTAGACTAAGCCCCTATTAATGCAGAGACCGAGAGAAAGGTCAATTCATACTTCAGATGAGGAAGTATTTATCTGCAGAATAGGAAAAGAGAGGGAGTAAATATCCCTTGCTCACTTCTGAAGCAGGCAGTTTCCAGCCTAATTTTAGAGAGCCTAAATGCCATGATGGAAAGTTTAGGCTTGAACAGTTAGTAAGAGCTAGGAGTTCTGCTTCATTTTATTTCTTTGCTTTTCCTTGGGAAAAGAGAGAATGGATTAAGAGAGTTCAAGAAAAAAATGGATAGCAAAGGTGTAAAAACACACACACACACAAAGTCAACCCATCAAGAGGGAAACATCTGTGTCTACCCTAGATATGCATTTCCAACTGGGGGTGAAAAAGAGGGCACTGGGAGAACTACAAAAGGATCTCTCTGCCCTGCACCCAGAAAATGTCCCAAGGAGTCCTCACAAACAAGAAAATCAGAGTTGGGCCTAGGATTTAGCTCAGTGGTTTCGTCGCCTGCTGTACAAGCGCAAGGACAGGAGTTCGATCCCCGGTACCAAAAAAGAAAGAAAGAAAGAAAGAAAGAAAGAAAGAAAGAAAGAAAGAAAGAAAGAAAGAAGAAAAAGAAAGAAAGAAAGAAAGAAAGAAAGAAAATCAGAATTTGCTGTGGCTGCTTATTGCTCGCCAAGACCTACACATCAGCAATAACCTTTTCATGCCAATTACAGTTCATCTCAAGTAATTAAAAAGGAAAAGTCACAACATTAATAGTCCATATTCAAAGGTCATGGTATCTAGCCTCCTTCCCAGTGTTGGAGACAGAAAACTTGAGGTCTTCTCCACCAGGCTGGTATAAAATCCAAACAGAAATCATACCTACCTGTGTACACCTGCTCTTTTAAGGCCTCGGGCTGACATCCCTGGAGATCCTGGAGTTATGGTCATATTCAGGGAGACTGCAGTGAAAGAGGGGGAAAAAACCTAGTATAGTCCCATCCTTGGTCCTTGTTCAAATGAGGAAAGTGAAGTCTAGAGAGGATTTCCTTGTCACACAATGAATTTGTGGCAGAATTAAGACCAAGACTCAACTTTTGTGATTGCCAGACAGGTACTCATTGTCTTTAGTTTAAGTTAGAAACTCAGTGTCTGAAATATTAAAGAAGAAGGAGCTAGGGAGATGACAAGCCAGTGCCAAAAAGAGCCCCCTCACCTGCTCTGTTACAGATGCTGGGCTGAGATAGCATTTCAGAGTAGACTTAATCTCCCCAACAAAACCAAGAGAAAGGCAGGATCAGGAGGGTGTCTCAACCTAAAATTAAATGGCTACAGGTTTTGTGTGATGGGGGGTGGAAGCCCATATACTAGCTACAAATTTAATGTTCAGCATTATTAAATACATTTTTGGTATGAAGCTGCATCTCTTCTAAACTCTTCACTGAAACATGCTCATTCATCTTTCAGCAACCTATGAACTGGATACTATAAATATCCCTATTTTACAGATTAAGTAAATAAAGTGTTAGACACTTCTAATATTCCTAACTTCTCATATCCAGAAAAGGACAGAGCTAAAATCTGTGGCTTTAGAACCAGGATACTAAAGTCTCATTCTGTGGTACCCATCTAGCTTTGAATACCTGGCGAAAATTCCTCCTGGGAAAAGAAAGACCTTCCAAAAGTAAACCATCTGTAAGTATATTACAGGCAGGCATAAGGGTCCAAATGAAATACCAAGATTCTAAGAAGAGAACATATTTATGGGAAATTTCAACAATGGGGACCTGAGGAAAGAGAATGAGCACCCTGTTTTGAGTTGAACTTGGTACTGTGCTATGGAGAGATGGATTGACAAATCCCGGATGTACCATGTTTGCAGCAAGCTCCTGTGGATGTACCATATTTGCAGCAAGCTCACATCGAAGAAGACTTCCCCTCAGACAGCTTCCAGCAGCTTTAGAGAAACAGGTCGTCAGGAAAAGAGGAGAGAGAGCTGGCTTGTCTATGATGAGTAGTCTATTCTGGAGGACCCCCCCCCTTGCCCCAGCACATGTTATACTACCCCAGGCAGGTGGGACCCCACACAGAGCCAGCTAACACGTAACGATGGCCTTGTGCATTTCTACTGGCATGACACCTATATCTGATGGAGCAACATCTATCTTCATTATGAAGTTAGATGAAAATCCCAATGCACTGACTAATAGACAGAATCCCAAATTCTTCTTTGGGAGCAAAGTGATAGGAAGAGTGAAGAGCTAGAGATGTCCCCTCTCTATCTGATTCCATTTTTATGTCCACCTGTCATCTCCCACAAATGCCTTTAGCTCACAGAGGGGATGGAGTCTCACTGCATTATCAGTCAGCACAACAAAAGAGCTTTTACTCAGGCTGCAGTGAAATGAAGGAATGACGAGATGAATTTTATACAAGAAGTTCCCTGATGAGATGGAGCTCCCTGTGGCACTAGGACCCCTTATTTCCAGCACAGGAGGAGTGAGCTTTCTGTTCAGGAAGTCTGCACATGGTGGCTCTTGGAGATCAGAGGAATAGAGTTGAAGAAGTGAGCCCTGGAGCCCTAGCATCTGTGCTAGAGACTCTTGGGTTCATTTTTTCCCATGCAGGAAGACAAAGGGCAAGGGTGACTCCCTTGAAAATTTAGCACCTGACTCCTTCTCCTGCCTTCACTATCCTACTTTATCCAAGAGACATTTCTCCTCCATGCCAGCCCTACTCACCAACAGTTTCAACTTTGCTATTGCAGCAGAATGAGCCAGACACAAGCAGGGTTGCATGGAGACAAATCATGAGTTTGATTCAATTCTGTTCAGTTCACACTGTCCTGGTTAAATGATTTCTTTCCCTAAATCCTTGCTATGTATCTGTTTAGGAAAACCACTAGATCCCCTTTTAATAAAACCAAGCCCCACACTTCCAGCTGACAATGGAAAGAGAATTTTCCATGTGGGCAGGAAAGGATGCAGCTCTCCAGGATGTCTCCAATTTCTGCATTCAATTGTTGATAAAAGAAATCCAAGTTCAAGCTCTAATACAGAGCAGGAAGCCCAGCCAGAGATAGTCTAGGGCTGAGAAGCAGCTCCATGATCTCAGTGACATCTCAGAATCTCCTTGTCTTTCCTATCTGCAATCAGTAGCATCAGATTCTTTTTCTCATGGTTAAAAGATGGTTGCTTCACCTCTATCTTCACTTTGATTTCCAAGAAGGAAGAGGAAAAGTTGTTAGAAGGGAAAAAAGGGACAGGGAAAGCAAAATTACTGAGCAATTTCTACTTTCAGGTCACTGGCCAGGTCTTCAGTATGTAGTTCCTCCTTAGCTGTCGGGGTATCTGCGACAGGTGGTGTTTCAGTTAAACCCATTAGTGCCACAAACCAACTTAGAGGTATCTGAATATGGAAGATGGGGAAGATATATGTCAGGTCTCTTAGTCACTTCCCCGACACTGGGATTAAATACCTCACACTTGCACCTTAAAGGAAGAGAGACTTATTGTGGGTCACAGTTTCAGTCCATGGCTGGCAGGCTCTGAGGCAGAAGTGGCATAGTGGAAGGGCCTGGTGGAGGAAAACTGTTCATTGCACAGTGGCCAGGAAATAGAGAAATGAAGGGCCAAGGAAAACAATTCCCCCTTCCAATCCATGTCCTTAGTAATCCACCTTGATCAGGCCCTATATCCTCACAGCACATTTAGCCACAAAATTCATCAATGGATGAATCTACTGATAAATGTAGGGCACCCCATGATCCAATCTCTTTCCAAAAGCCCCATCTCTGAATACATGAAACTTTTGTGGGACATTTTAGATCTAAGTCATACCATTAGGTATCACAGTGTCTCCCATATTCAGATATCTTCTGTTATGGAGGCTTCTCCAGGGTGGAGAAAGCAACCAGGAAGAAACAGTGGTATTACATACTGCCCTTGAAGCTAGAACCCTTCCTTGTCTCTTGCATTATCTATTATGATGATTTCCAACCTGCTAATCATCCTTGCTGCTCTTGACTCTGGTGTTGATCTACTGCAGTTTCATCCCTGCCTCTACCTTTCTATAAAGGCTCCTGTGAAATGGGGAGATATCAGTGAAGGACATAAATACGCAGTTGTAAGGTGAATAAATTCTAGAGCTCTAGTGCTCAGCACAGTGACTATATATCGTGAGTAATATATTGTGCATGTGAATACGGTGAGTAATGTATTGCGCATGTGAAATTGTTAAGAGTGCAGATTTTAAGTATTCTCACTAACATGCACAACAGGTAACTGTGTGATGCAATTGATATGTTAATTAGCTTGATTGTGGCAATCATTTCAAAGTGCATACATGCATCAAAACATCAGATTGTACACCTGGAATATATGCAATTTGTATTTGTCAATTATGCCTCAATGGAGTTGAAAAAACTGAAATATTTTGAGAACCCAGAGAAGAAATGAAACTCTAATAAGTCCCTATTTCATATAAAATGAAACTCAAACTCTCCAGCTCGCCCATGGGTCCCTTCATCTCCTATCATTTCTCAAGTTCAAACAGCTCACTATTTCTTATGAAACAGATCTGGATCTCTTAAGCCACCACTTCTTTGTTTTTTCTATTCTGCCAGAAATTATGAAATCTTTCTTCTTCAGTTGGTATCTCCCCACATATTCATTATTCTTTTTTATTGGTACATGTTTGTACTACATAATGATTACATTCATTGTGGGGAGTTGGTCATATAACATGACACATCTTAATTCTTTTTATCCACATATTCTTTAAAACGTAGAAAACTATCTCTTCTGCTGATGTGCTTAACTCCTTTGATCCTTAAATGGACTCACCTCCAAAATTTCAGACTTGCTAGCTATCAGAATCTTAGGCCTATTCATCTACATCACCTGCATTAAGTTAGGAGCCACTGGAATGCACGCACGGGATCTCAGATACCATTGTAGGTATTGTGTTTGGTACCACACTTGCCCTGTTGTAATTACTTATTAGATAACTAACAGCACTGTTCTGGGTGCCTTGTATGAAGATGGTACTATTATTGCCATCCTCAGTTTATATTTGAGAAAACCACAGCCAGAAGAGAGTATCTCACCACATTTATACCTTTAGCAAGCAAAGTAGGAATGGTTTTACCCTCAGCTTCTGGCTCCAGTGCTTGTATTTTAGTTGTTAATCAATACTGCTTCCCAGTAAACAATGTGGTTAAAGAATGAGTGTGGCTGTGCAGATTGCCCAGCCCATTTAGGAGAAAGCATCTCAGACTGCAGAGAGAGAAAGGTGGCATCCCTTCCCCTCCAGTTTATGACTCATCTTTGACCCATCTGCCAGCCCAGCTCCACTGTAAGCAGTGGGCTAGGCGAAGGTGGGGGATGCCCTACTTTTCCTTCAGCTCCCAGGTTAAATTCCTTCAGGTCAAAGGTCACATCTCAGCAAGCTCCCCCTAGGTGCCTCTTCCCACCTCCTGCTCTTCTGCTTTCTCTGCCTCCCTCCCTCCCCAGCCCCTTCCACTTCTCTGCCACAGCTGTAAAATCCGTGCAGCCATCTCTGAAGCTGCTGCTAACCACAGGCATTCAGGAACAATCTCGCTCCAAATCCTGCCTCCTATTTTAATATTTCCTGTGGCGTTTTATAGAAATAGCAGAACAATTGCTCATCCACAGGGGGTAAAAGGAGCAGGATTTTATATAATTAAATTTGAAAGCAACAAAATTCCCCAGCCTGTGAGGTGTGGGGAAGGGGTGATGGGATGAGGACCTCTGGGTGACACAGAATCCAGCCTTAATCTTCTTGCCTAGCAGTGACAAGGAACGTGGACATAATTCGTGTCTTCAGTTCTGCCTCACCTTCCACAGAACTGCAGCCAGGTAAATGGGTCCCTCCTCAAGGGTTGCTTAGAGTCACCTGCATCCTAGGGAGCATCTGCATTTTAGGAAGTGTTGATAATTTATTTTCATCTCCTGGAGGAAGAAGAAAATGACAGCTCATCTCCCAAAAGGAACATTTTTAACGTGATGAGGAACAGAGATCAGCAACATCTGCCTGTAGTCAGCATGCCTGGAGTTTCCCCATAAACACAGTTCCATGAAAACCAAACAAAGGAACACAGAGAGTGGCCAAGCAGATTCCTCTTCAGTGCCCAGATATAAATGAGTCTCATAGCCTCCTTCCTTTAAGGCCAGGGACCTGATGGCTGCCCCCTAGTGGTGTCCACGGGCCAGGTGGCCCCACGTGGGTACGCAGGGTGCACATGCCCAGAGCTCTCTGGCCATTTATCCCTTTGATATGCTTTAAGTGAGACATAATTACCCACTTTGTCACAGTGCATGTGACTCTGACGGCCCAGTGTGTGGCCATTAGAAAAAATACATCAGAAAGTCCGTAAAGGGAAGCAGCCTTCCATTTGGGGTTTGCCCCAGGACCTTGACAGGGTTCTAAGTCTCAGACTTTCCAGAACCTGGTTCCCGCATAAGAGCAGTGACCTCCTCTTGTAGTAAGTTAGGTGGGGGAAGGAAAGGAATGGAAACAAAGGGCTCAGTTCACTGTAGTTCACCTCTTTTGCATGATCAATTGTTTCCAAAATCTGGGATGGATGTCTCTGCAGGAACACTCTCCCTACCCTCTGAAACTTCCTGCTCACACATGAATTTAATACCTTTCACTGACCCCTTGTACTGTGGGGCTCATTCCCCTCGGTCATGGAGTCTCCTCCTCCTCAGCACACCCAGTGGTGCTTGCCTCTCTTCAGCAAGCCCTCCTCCCTGACCCAGATCTCTGCTCTGAGGAAGGCACCTGGCTTCTCTATAGTGCACATGCACGCACATGCACACCCTGCACACACAAGAACACCCACATGCACACACATGTGCACCATGCCCCTGACCCTCAAACCACACCATACTGCCTGGAAACAGGGCTTCCTAAATACATTTTGAACCTACAAGATGCTGCTAGAGATCAGGCTGTGAGTTTTCTTAAATGTGAAGCCTGCTCATTACAGCAATTAATTGGCATTGCTGTGCTAATGGTAAGGCAGTGTGCCTGTAATAACTGCCAGCAGCCTGCTGCGTGCTTGGAGAGATGGTGGTAGGAGCTGAGCACTGCATGGTGTTTACAGTAGAGGAGACAAGGAAATCCATAAGCATTTTCTTTTTCTGTAAAGCAGGGCTGCACCATTCAGTTTCTATTAACAATTTTCAATTGTTTTTATTAGTGCTAGATTGATTTTCTGTTCATTTATTTTTTATATAAAAAAGCAGAATTAGCTACAGAACTTTTGGCCCTGGCCGGCTAAACAAAAACAGCAGCATCACCACGCAACTGCTTGTCAGACAGCTCAGAAGGAGCGGTGGACAGACGGGACCAGACCAGCACATTGCTGATGGTATCGCCCCAGACTCAGGCTAAATGAGATGTTTATATCCAAAATGAGGCCAGGTTCAGGATTCCACAGCACTTGTATGTGTCTCTAACCAGACCACTTTTGGCCATGGAATGACACATCACATGGATTTGTCAGAATAATTCTTTCACTCAACCTTCCCTTCTGGCCTCACTGAAGGCAAGCATTTGACTAAACTCAGGGTGCAAATAAATTCCAGCTCTGCTGTGGCTCAACCCTGTGAAACCTACCTAACAGTAAGTTCTCTAGGCCTCCATTTCCTCATCTGCAAAATGGGAAGGATGACCTAAAGGGCACCATGAGTCTTTTAACTTTTAAAGCAAGTTGATCCAAAAAAAAAAAAAAAAGGGCCATATAACAATGAGCTTATATTCTCATAGGGCAGGTACTCTACATTCACAACTAATGAAACACAAGACAGTGTGCTCCCGGTGCAATAAGAGATATAAAATACTGTATCACAGGGAGTGAGAGGAGAGAGACCTGTCCTTGTTTGGAAGACCAGAGGGGGCTGTGGAGGAGAAGGGATCAGCCGAGGTGTGTGAGAGGAAAGATAGGCAGGAATGGGAGGCAGACAGGCTGCGTAAAGGACTGGCTGTATCATAAGCAGGGGAAGGCCTTTGGGAAGATGCTGTCTAGGAGGTCGGGGAATCTCACAGGCAGTGACTTGCATTCCCAAGAAAGAGGCCTTTTCAAGAATGCAGAGAGTGTTTCATGTGGCCACATGCAGCCCAGTGATCAAGGAGTCCAGCACAGCCTGAACATACACTGTCCCAGGGACAGGCCTCAGGCTTCCTGATGGGCCGCGCTGGGGCTGCCAATGGCCACACAGGAGCCACCCCACAGGTGGGACGTGTTTTCCTGCGACCAGAGCCCGGTGGTGTCTATAAATCCTGCTGATTGCTCTGAGAACAACAAATACTGCTTTTTCAGACGTTCAGAGTGACATTCTGTGAGATGAATGGCAGCTCCATTACACTGCTCAGACATTTTGGACTTTCTTCCTTTCTCTTCTCTGTCACATTGTTTCACTGGGCCTACTTCTCGACAGTGGTTCTGATTCTCATTCCATCTGCTGCTGAACTGGAGTCTTCCTTTTGCCCTTCATAAATTATTCCTATTATCTGTCTATGTACTCATCCTCTCAAATGAGCCACAGCAGAGGGAGTATCCCTCACAGAGAGAGAGGAGATTCTTGCATTTATTAAACTGTCACTAAGTGAAAATGAAGCATAGATTTGAACTTACAAGATTCGATTTGAGACCAAGATCTTCTACATTCCACGGTGGTAACTTTGTCAGCTTTCTTTTCAAACATGAGCCTTGGTTTACTCATTTGTCAAATGAGGACATGGTTTTGCTGGACAGAGTAGCTAGAAGAGATTAAATTACATAAAGAAATATAATTTATTGTGCAGATCCAACATTTTGATATCAATTATGGCTGTTACAACTCTTCAAAGAGAGACAATCTCTCATTTTCAAGTTTATCAAGCATCCTACAAGCAAATTAATGTGTGAATTAATATTTTGTGTGCATATTGCATAGTTACTCTGAAGCAGTGTGTCATTTCCTTCATCATCAAGCAGGACTGAGTGTTTTCTAACTTAAGTGGCTATGTGCAGGGTTTCACCCATTTTCCACAGTGATTTTTCCCCTGGAGGTTTGATTACCTAGGACTTCTCCTGGGCATTTGGCTGCACAGCTGCTAGGAAAGGCTATCCAGGACCCCCTCCCACGAACGGATCTGCAGTAGGGGAAATGTAAGGGTCCTGCCTCCTCCAACCTCAGCCTGTTCTCCCAAGAAGCAGATGACATCATGGACAGGAGGAGTAGACAGAGTATATCCCTTGCCCTGCTCTGTCAGCAGTGCCCAGGCCAGGCAAGCACCCTAGATACTGAAAGCATGTTTTGCCTGACAAGAAGCCACCCTGCTACTTAATGTTTCACTTCAGGTGATCCACAGCAGGTGCAGGGCAGCATGTCAGTTTGGAGACAGGAAGCTCCTCTTGCTGCCTGCTGCTCTTCCCTTGCCATGTCCTTCTGTCCCCCTTAGCAGAGTTTAGTGTCATGCACAGAGCTCAGACGTCACTTTGGACCACTGAGCTCTTGCTGGAGGTTTCATCTTGTCAGGAAGGACATGAGGAGGCAAAAAAGGTCAGGAACATCAGAGTAAGTACATTCGACCCCAGTGGAGGACAGGATGATCTGGATTATTTGTGGGGATTCATATTAGACCAGAGGCTTATGTAGCAATTGTTTGGGGGGCTCAGTTATTCAGGTGAAGGCCTTTTGAAAAATCCCATCTTTGCTGGATGAAAATATATTTGAAAGTGAGAATGTAGGAGGAAAAGAAGGGGAGCCAGAAGCCCACTCATGCAAATAGCAGGATATAAATGACTCAGTTTCCTTCTTCACAAAGATGATGGTTTGGAGTTGCTTTGCTGGCAGGTTAGCTAATGAGTGGGTGTTGTGTTAATTAACGTTGCAAAGAATTGTGAAAGTGAAAAACTTTAGATGTTCCCTGATGTCGTATGACTTGAGTATGCCAGTATTTTTATGAGAGAAGGAGTAATAGAAAACTGGCAGCAGAAGGCACGTGGACACTGAGCAACTACAGTGAGAGGTAGAAAAAGAAAGAAATTTCAAAATATCCTAACATGTTAACACACGTTTCTTTTTCCCAAAGAAATAGTATTGTCATATTTTGGTTGACTTGGGCTATAAATAATCAAGGCCCTTCCTGACAGGAAATTAAACAATAAGGATATCAAAGAAGCTCACTGGTAGGTACTCAACAGCTCAGCAATGGCCCTCTGGCTGAGGATCCAGACTTGCTCTCCTACAGGCTAGAGACTGGATCTTCACCTCATGAGTGGAAGGCACTTACCTTTCCCCACCTCTCCCACCATCACCTTATCATGATCAGAGAGAGAAAAGATGGGGCCTAGGAGAGGGCACACTCTTATTTTGATATGGTTCTTCTACTGTGTAACACACCCATTAACAGCCGCAAAAGAGACAGGAAAGTAAAATGCCTGGCGATTCTAGCCTCTGTTGTGGAAAGCATGCTGTGCCAGTAGGAAAGAAAGGAGAAGAGAAAAAAGGCTTTATATAGATGTCACTATCAATGGGCTTCTAGATAAAGATCTGATGTTTGTTGGGAAACAGTCACCATGAGAGCATTTGGGGCAATTGTGTAGCTTCTCTCTAATTGCCAGGGATATGCTTGCCTAATTAGTCGAGGCAGGCCAGTTACTCTGCCGTCTTTACCTCTTTGTGTGTTCAGGGTTGGTTTATAAGGCTTTGAGTTTATTATGCCTTCTTCACCTATAGATCATCCTAAGCAATCTCCACGAGGGTATGCATATGGAACCTACACTGGGGACTGGAGTCCTCAGCTTTAGCCCTTCTATGCAAGAGAGTATGAGAATGAAGCCTTGGGGTCCTCAGCAGTGTTGCACTCCCTTGAGGCCTACTGGCTCTGCAAACCTGGATATAGTAAAATCTTTACATGGTGGCCATGAACATACTGATGTGTCAAGCCTCTGCTTGGGGGCCAAGAGAAACAGAGGCATTCTACTGAAAAGCCAGGCAGGGGGCCTAATGGGAAATTGGTCAGAGGTTCAGTGACATTGCCTAACCCACAGACTTCCATTTGCCCGCACCCTTCTCTTCCAAATGAGGTACCAGTTGTGTTTGTCTAGTAATCACCTGGCCATCCATCCCCTTCCCACCTCCAAATTGCAAATCAGCAGCAGCAGCAGAGGATCCCTCCCTACCAAACCAGAGCAGCACATGGAAGCTGTTCATTCTCCTCCCTCTGTTCTGTTGCATTTTTCATCATTAAAGGGAAAATGTCATTTTGGTGACAGATATTAGTATGATTGGTGTCAGGAATGAATCTTCCTTTCTCTGTCAGCCTTGCTTCACACATTCCTAAGACAATGTTCTGTTAAAAGGCCACTTCCATTTCCAAATCAACCAGCGTGTTGGAAGGGCAGGCTTCAGCTGTGATGGATGGCAGGGAACTGTGCTGGTCCTCTGCCAAGGAGCACAGCTGGAACTTGACCCCTCCAGCACCAGAGAAGCTGAGAAAGTTTCTGGGAAATGCATGTTTGATTTCTGGCTGAATTGTGCTGGGGACAGAGTCTTAAAAGGAGAAAACCTGCAACTCTATTTGGTGATAAGGTTTTAAGGAGTAGAAAATGTCCCATCATCAATAGCATATAAATTCATGTTAATTCAAACTGTTAAAGCTGATCTAGAAATGAAGTTTTTCTGTTTCTTCCCAGCAAAAAGGTAGGCCAGACTTTTTACATCTTTTCTAGCTGCAGATCTGGGCCTTGCAAGCTGGGGGTAATAATACATTCCACCTCTACAGCATGCCTCATCTGATGTTCTGTATAAAATAACCTTTTAGAGCTCATTTAGAGCTCAATTTTCTCATGCATGAAATAAAGATAATGGTACTTTGAGTTTCGCAACTACTGAGAGGCTGATTCAATTCAGTGGGTATTTGTTGAACTCATATCCTGGGTCACACATGTTGCTTAGCTTTGGAAAGGTATTAAAACAACTAGGAAGGGCACCCTCCTTCAGCATATATCCTATAGTAGGCAGGATCAAACAGTCAACTACAGTAGAAATAAATGTACAATATATGCATTAGAAATGTACCCGTGTCTGTTAATGGGAGAGGTAAGCATGAGGAACATTGGTAAAAATAATATTTCCCAGAGGAAATGGGATTTTGAAAGCTGTGAATGGATTGAAGAAGGTCATCATTGCAGACTGAAAAGTCTGAGCAAATGGTTTGTGGTTCAGATGCAATATTCCTGGAAGGGCGACCAGTCTAGGTTGACTGGGTCACAGTTGTTAGTGAGGGTGGAAGTGGTCATGGCAGAGACTGATGCTATTCAGTCAGTATGAAAACTCTACTTTGGTATGTCCTATTACTTATATCAGCTATGATTTCTAAACTAAAAGTCATTTAAACCATTTTATAAATCTCCATTTATACACAAAAATTCGGTTCTTAGATAAAATAAGCTCTTTATATACAAACTTAAGAAATGCACTATGCAATGCCCTTACTGGATTAAAAAAGAAATGAATAGAAAATGATTGATGATAAGTGTAAAATCTTTGAGTACAATCACACCGTAGGATGTAATGAAGTGTAGCTAGATCTATATATAGAATTGCCATGAATGTGAGAGCTAAACTACAGTAAAGACTGGCACAGGGATGCAGAATTGGTGACTTAAACATGATGAGAAATACCCCTATGGGTTATGTGATTTTCCTAACTAGTGACACTTCTTGGTAAAGATCAGAACAAATCAAATACATCTTCCCTTGTCTTGGAAGGTACTTGCATCCCTGGAGAATAAATGCTAAAATCTTCCAAGACTGTTTGTGTTTATTTCTCAAGTAGAATATATTTTAAGTCTCAGATTTAAAAAAGAGAAAGATTTCACTCTCTTAAATGTCTGGCAGACTTTTTATATCCAAGAGTGAATAGATCTATTGATGAGCATCCAGCCTCCCTAACTCCCAAGCACTGGATGATGGATGGGAGCACTACCTCCCCAGTTATGGTAGAAACTGGTCTCCATCCAAATTTCTATCACTTCTCCATCTCCACAGACCATCTCTATCCTGGTTAAGATACTGGTTTAGGCAGAGGAAGGGTTGGAGACAGAGAGATGAGTAAAGATTTATTAAAGTAATAGAGAGACTAAAAGAGAAGGCAAGCAAGCCTTGGTGGTAGCAGAGAAATCTGGAGAAGAGGGATAAATGTACAAGACACCCATACACTAGTGAGATAATGGATATAAATGTCCTTGGTAAAGTTTACAGCACTATGCAAATATTATTGCAGTTGGAGTTAAATGTCATCACACTCACTTTACAGAAAGGAAATCCAAAGCCCAGGAAAGGTGCAGTGACTTTTGCAAAGACACAGAACAGGTCAGGAATTGCATTAGATACCCAATGGCTCAAACCTACATTTCCGCTATGATTACTAATGCAAAGGAGCCTCCACCCAACCTGGAAAATTACAAGCAGAGAGCCTGAGCAGAGCAAATACCAAGAAGGAAATAGTTTCTGGAAATAGTCAAATTCTAAGTACTCTATTCATTATCTCTTATTTTATGGAATACCTGGAAAGCTTCAGGGTTCCAAACACCAAGATCCTATAGTCCATCTACTTTTGTATTTGATCATGCCTCTACATATTCACTGGTAACATTTAAAACAAAGGAAAGAGATAATTACAAGAGGAGAGTTTTTAAAAGATACTAAAGGTTAACAGGATTCTTGGCATTTGTGTCGTGTCAATTTCCATGTAATTATGCTTAATTC